GATAGAATATGCCGCCAAAATATTACAAAAAAGGCATCTCCCAAAAAGGAAGCTTTAATTTCACTGCAGAATCTTATAAGCAATTGTGCTTGCTCTCAACATTATCTCAGAGAGTAAAAATTAAAAACTTTCTATTATTTTCGGACTCACTATCTGGCTTTGAAGGAAAAAATCCAACAACCAACTTATAATGAAAATATTATGCAAAGTGAGCACTACTATTAACAAGTATAAAGACATCAAAGTATGCTGGATTCCTAGCCCTTGAAGTTAACGGTAATAATGAAGAAGACCTAACAGCCAAATCAGCTTTAGATGTGAATGTCAATACAAGGATCCAAATTCCATACACAGATTTTAAGGATGTTATTAAGAAATACATAAAAATAGGAATGGCAACGGTACTTGGATGATAACAAAATAAACTCTTCGAAATCCAGTCAAAATTTGCAGAGTGGAAGTCAGATCACAGAAAGTCTAATAAGGAAGAAATGGTACTGGACCACGTACGCATTAGTCATACGAGAATAAGCCACTTGTACTTACTAAACAAAAAAGAACAACCAATATGCCAAGCATGTAAAACAGTATCTACTATTAAACATATATTAACCGAGTATTCAAATCTTACTCTCTCAAGACAAAAATATTATAATATAAACAATATGTATAAGCTGTTCGAGAAAATAAAAATGGATGATATAATATCATTTTTGCAAACAGCAGGATTCTACCAAAAATTATAAACCAAATGTGAATGTCAAAATCAATTTTTCTACAAACCTTGTATCTGAAACGAATACACCAATGAAAGCAGATTCTCAACAACAAACCTCTTTACAAAAGTATATCAATGAAACCAGATCTACAAAGTGTTTCCTTACAAAGAATATATATTCTATTCATACGAATCTATATCTTGTCGACATTAAATAACCCATGAAGGTTGATATGCCGTAAAACAAGCCAAACTATATATATATATAAAACCAATATATATATATATATATATATATATATATATATATTATGTTAACTGATTTAAAAATATGGTTGCTTAGCTACATAGGAATTACCATGTTTCAAAAACAGAAGCTAAAAACTTCAAATTTAATTATATAATTAAATCAAAAGCATTAGTTCTATTTCGTTTTCAAACGAATTTTGGAATAATCTAACTTGGAATAACCTAATAATAATATTTATGATCTGTAAATTTACATTGAGCACTGTTTTGTAAAAATAAAAATATCAATAAGAACACCGGATTGTATATCTTACTGTTCTTTCTTTTTATTATAATATAAAAACACCTAGTTTTGTAACAAATTTAAAAAGATTACCAGACGTCTCCTTAAACTTTTGAATTGTAGTGTATGAGTGTATATACATATACATATATATACAAGTATATATATACATATATATCAATGAGAGTATAAATATATATATATATATGTACACACACACATATATATATACATATTTACATAGTTTATGTGCGTATATATAACTTGCACTCTCACACACACATATATGCGTGTGTGTTTATAAGTGTGTTAGAGCGCATATATATAGTTGCATGTTTATACATTTAAGGATATATCAGTCTATATATATATATATATGTCACATTCTTCATTATATATAGAGAAAAGACTTAGTGTGAAGGAAGAATGTGAGTGAGCAGAGAGAGAGAGAGAGAGAGAGAGAGAGACGGGGATAAAGAGACGGTAAGAATGAGATTGGAATAGTGAAGTTATATGTGTATGTTTAGTACTTCATATATTTTCTGTATTTGGTTGTGTTGTGAACGGGAAGGAAAATAAGAACAAACAAAAAAGAATGATTGGAATGTGGTCGGTCTCGTAAATTCAAACTTAAAAAAAAAACCTCCCCATCTCTAAAAACTGTTCCATCTTCGACTGCAGAAGAAATTTCTTAATGTCAAAATTCTTGTATTTCAATCAACTCGACTCCGTTTCGAAACTGATAATTAAAACTCAAGAATTAGTCAATTACGCTTCGCATCAACTCTTTTAGATACGAGAAAGAACACACGCCCGAAATTATTAACATATGTAATATATATATATGAACATCCTAAATCGGACTCATACAAACGAGCACTTAAACACACATGCAGAGAAAGACATTCATCCTACCTAAAACTGGCAGTGCCAACAAAAATATGACTGGCATCCGTATTTGGACAGGTGGGCTAAAATATCAATAATATTATGGTGATAAAATGTAAAATGTTAGTGACTCATTTCAAGGGCAAGTAATCGAAGCGAATTTATTGATTAAAAAGTATCATCATCATCATCATCATCAGCAGCAGCAGCAGCAGCAGCAGTAGCAGCAGTCCTTGACTGCTTTAATCGTCAGGGGGGTTCTAAAGGAAGAAAAAAGAAAACCTCCTACAGGATGATCCTTTGGCGGTGGCTCTCCTCTGTTCCGGGATCGTCATATCCGTCCGCTCTTTGATATTGCTTGACCAGCTGATCTTGCAGAGGTTCTTATACCGTGGGACGTGGCCAAGCCATGTCATCTTCCGACACATAATAGTGGCGAGGAGAGATTCCTGTCGGCCCACGAGATTTTTTTTTATCTTGCTCCATAAATAATCATTGTTTTTGTGCTCCCAGTAAGAAATGCGGAGGGATTTTCTCATGCATTTGTTCTCGAAAGTCTGGATCTCTTTTCCTGTCTAAACCAGGAGTATCCGTGTCCCACCGTAGAGGAGGTTGGATACGACCAGCGATTTGTAGAGCATGAACTTGGTTTGGAAACTAATGTTCCAATTCCATATCCTTTCCAATCTTGCCATTAGTGCTGTGGCTGTGGTGATCCGTGTGTGTTACATGTGCCATTTTTTGACAGGGTATCTAGCTCCAAAGTATTTGAAGCTAGACACTACCTCCAGTGGTCCGCCGTCCATGGTAACACTGGAACTCGTGGTGTTGCTTGTGCTATTCAAAATTACTTTGGATTTCTCTGTGTTGAGTTCCAATCCATATGCGCCAACTCTTTCAATGAGTTTGTTGATTAGGTCTTGCAGCTCAATGTTACTTCCCGCCAAAATGCAGGTTGCAGACGATAGAGATATAAGTGTTGTGGACGTGGAGGAATTTCTACATAATTATCTCCAGAAACCGGTTGACGAGTGTTGGAGGGAGTAGGCATCCCTGTCTAACGTCGATTGTGGTCTGAAAGAAATCTTCCATTTGGTTAATCAAGAGAACTGCGTTCGTTGCATGGTCATGGAAGTCATAAAATGTATACAGTTTTTAAAATTATAAAAAGGGGCTAGCAAAAAAGAAAACGCCAAACAAGTTAGAGTTTTAATTGTTCAAATAAGAAACCATATTAATTTATTTTCGGTATAATCTAACATTGTATACCGGGTACTGAAGCAGACTTTCTAAAAAAAAAAAAAAAAAAAAAAAAAAACGAAAAAACATTTTAAATAATTTAAATGCCTTCTTTGAAATTTCGGTACTATTTGAAAGATAATGATCTCAAGCTAATCCGATTTGATTTTAGCGGCCAGCTACTTCCGGGTGTCGTGGGCGGGGATTTACATGGCATTTCTATTGCAAACAGATCAAACCTGATCCGGGATGATTATGTTGCGAATAAAAACTTTATTGAAGACCGTACGTTCGCTTACCTTTTTTGAGTTTCAGGGGCCTGGGCCTTCGATCAGCGGTAGATTTGGCCCTTCCAGCATATCTTTCTTCACTTTCTTTCAGTCGTGAATTAATTGATGAGATAGTAGGTGGATCGTCTCAGTGTTTCTCGGGTAGTTTTTTCGAACAAGCTTCAGCGTCTGGGCCCAAGAATTACTTTCTCTCCCACTAGACACATCAAAACAAAAAAGCTGGGATAAAATAAAATGCGAGGCCAATTTTACTAATTTGAGGCTCTCTCTGGATCAGCATGACCTCGCCTGTCTACTATCTGCTTCACAACTGAGCAGTGGCGCCTGGCTCAACGCACTGCCTTCTTCATCTACCGGTACCCTTCTAGATGATGAGTGCACTGGGGTCGGAGTCGCGATCCGTCTTGGGCTCAAATTATGTGAGCGTCACAGATGCAGATGGGAAGCTTCCATCGATGAGTATGGTTTGCATTTTCTCTTCTATCGTCGTAGTGCGGGCCGCTTTCCAAGTCATGCAGCAATAAACGACATCATCAGAAGAGGTTTGGATGCAGCTGGGCTTCCTTCCCAAATCGAACCCGTAGTCCTCGACCGTGGTGATGGAAAGCGGCCGGATGGCATTACCATTTGGAATATACTTAATATTCCCTGTGCAATCTATCTTGCCTCTTATTTTAATTAAACCTTATCAATTGCAATTCTGATAAAAATCAAAACTGACGTTAAACTTTTTATAAAGAATTGTTTTTTAAAGGTTTTACTTGATTTGATATTTTAATTGTTATTGATTTTTTAAAATTTTAGTTATATATTTGAATTTATTTATTATTCAATTTAATTTATAACTGATTCGTTTAAAAACCTGGTCAATTCTTATTTAAATTTTTTGAATTTAATTTACTAGTGAGTGCCATATTGCCTTTCTTTTCTTTCAGGTTCAAGATTGACAGTATGACACGTTTGTCATTGCCTTCTGAAACTACATTGTCCTCTACCAAGGGTGACATTAATCTTTGCACCAAATGACACAAGTGGAAATGCACTGTTGCAGCCGGGAATGCTTTCCCTGAATTTGACTAAACTATCAGTTTAAAAAAAAATAATGTATATGTACATGAATGTTCACGACTAATTTTATTAGCAGACTTTATTAGGACATATACCTGTATAGTATAAAATGAGTGTATTTTTATTGTTTATATATTGAAAATGGATATTTCGAAGTGTAAGCTGTCGTTGCAAATATTTTTGGATGAGTAAATCTATTTTCGGACCTCTCCTCTCTTCTACCTTGTGTGTAAGAACAGCCTGTAAAAAGTATTTTCACATGAGTAATTAAAATTGTAAACAATTATGTATAAGCAATTTATTTCTGATGTCAATCTTGACAGCAAGTAGACGGTACTTACGTTACTAATTTAATCTATAAAAACCAATTGAACTAAGAATGGTAAACTTTTGGGGGACACACTGATATCTGCAGCAAAGAATATATTTTGTATGATATACCATAAAATGCAATCTTGCGTTGTGTTTCTTATTTGGGGGAGTATACAGTAACATACACCCATCCCGGCCTCGACCACAACCATAGACCATGTGTCATCATAGATGGATAATTTGATAACTATATTCATGCACACAAAGTACAATCACTGAAACACAGATTCATATATACAAATGCGCAGTCATACTCACACTATACTATACTATACTATATATATATATATATATATATATATATATACATTATCACACACGTATATGTGTGTGTGTGTGAGTGGCCAGACGAACGCGAAGGCACACACATACACGCATATATAAGCGACAAAAAAAAAAATTGCCCCAAAGAAAAGTGTATATGAAAAGAAAAATCGAAAAGTTGAAACAGCCAATTGCTGATAGCCCTGATGAGTGGACAGACTGAATCCTGGAGAATTTGTCTACGAAACTCTGGAATATTCCAACCTATTCAGTGACATTTTCTCTGTACAAAATTATAATTTATAATGTACAGAAAAAGAAAGCATTAGTTTCAACTTCCGCCGCACCGCCTATTCCTCCACCGCACCACCTATTCTTTTGCCGCACCGCCTATTCTTCCGCCGCGCCGCCTGTTCTTCCGCCGCGCCGCCTGTTCTTCCGTGGCGCCGCCTATTCTTCTGCCGAACCATATTTTCTTCCGCCGCGCCGCCTATTCTTCCGTCGCGCCGCCTATTCTTCCGTCGCGCCGCCTATTCTTCCGTCGCACCACCTTTTCTTCCGACGCCTATTCTTCCACCGCGCCGCCTATTCTTCCGTCGCGCCGCCTTCTTCTTCTGCCGAACCACCTTTTTCTTCCGTCGCGCCGCCTATTCTTCCACCGTGCCGCCTATTCTTCCGTCGCGCCGCCTATTCTTCTGCCGAACCACCTTTTCTTCCGTCGCGCCGCCTATTCTTCCGTCGCGCCGCCTATTCTTCCGTCGCGCCGCCTACTTCCGTCGCACCACCTTTTCTTCCGCCGCCTATTCTTCCACCGCGCCGCCTATTCTTCCGTCACGCCGCCTATTCTTCTGCCGAACCACCTTTTCTTCCGTCACGCCGCCTATTCTTCTGCCGAACCACATTTTCTTCCGTCGCGCCGCCTATTCTTCTGCCGAACCACCTTTTCTTCCGTCGCGCCGCCTATTCTTCCGCCGCGCCGCCTATTCTTCTGCCGAACCACGTTTTTCTTCCGCCGCGCCGCCTATTCTTCCGTCGCGCCGCCTATTCTTCTGCCGAACCACCTTTTCTTCCGTCGCGCCGCCTATTCTTCCGTCGCACCACCTTTTCTTCCGCCGCCTATTCTTCCACCGCGCCGCCTATTCTTCCGTCACGCCGCCTATTCTTCTGCCGAACCACCTTTTCTTCCGTCGCGCCGCCTATTCTTCCACCGTGCCGCCTATTCTTCCGTCGCGCCGCCTATTCTTCTGCCGAACCACCTTTTTCTTCCGTCGCGCCGCCTATTCTTCCGTCGCGCCGCCTATTCTTCCGTCGCACCACCTTTTCTTCCGCCGCCTATTCTTCCACCGCGCCGCCTATTCTTCCGTCACGCCGCCTATTCTTCTGCCGAACCACCTTTTCTTCCGTCGCGCCGCCTATACTTCTGCCGAACCACCTTTTCTTCCGTCGCGCCGCCTATTCTTCCGCCGCGCCGCCTATTCTTCAGCCGAACCACATTTTCTTCCGCCGCGCCGCCTATTCTTCCGTCACGCCGCCTATTCTTCTGCCGAACCACCTTTTCTTCCGTCGCGCCGCCTATTCTTCCGCCGCGCCGCCTATTCTTCTGCCGAACCACATTTTCTTCCGCCGCGCCGCCTATTCTTCCGTCACGCCGCCTATTCTTCTGCCGAACCACCTTTTCTTCCGTCGCGCCGCCTATTCTTCCGTCGCGCCGCCTATTCTTCTGCCGAACCACCTTTTTCTTCCGTCGCGCCGCCTATTCTTCCGCCGCGCCGCCTATTCTTCTGCCGAACCACATTTTTTCTTCCGCCGCGCCGCCTATTCTTCCGTCACGCCGCCTATTCTTCTGCCGAACCACCTTTTCTTCCGCCGCGCCGCCTATTCTTCCGTCGCGCCGCCTATTCTTCCGTCGCGCCGTTTGCGTCGTATGAGGCAATACGAAGCAAACGGCATGAGTCGAATATAAGATTAATGGAGATTGTGTCGTAACCGCGAATCGTCAGCGGTCGGACTGTTGTAACCCGTGGACTTACTGTATCTTGCTTAAAGTTTGTATTTTCGCGATTCCAACATATTTTAGTGAATTTTTCGCTTTTCAAAATTACAATTTCTAATTATGCTTTAAATATAAGGGAAAATTCATTTCCCTATATTTAAAGTATATTTTAAACTAACGCCGGATATGGGTTATTGTCAAGGATTCTTTCCTATTGCTATTATCTAGTAATTCATTATTAACTGACGGGAGTGGCCAATTATCGTATCCCCTAGGATTATATAAAGCACCCCCAACAACCTCCTGATTATAAGTTAAACCAACCAAACTCAAAGTTAAAGTTCCAACTAAAAGTAAAACTCGAAAAGTAATTTGCCCATTTCTATGTGAGAAACGGCAGTTTAACATGGCTTCCAAATGACCCTACGTTATGACTTCTGGGTTTTGATCTCTGACTTTTAACCTCTGCTCTTGACCTCTGCGTTTTGACCAAACAACAAACTAACCGTAAACCTAATGATTTGAGCATCAATAAGTAACTCTAGCACGTACCCTCAATGGGTACGCCACAGCTTCGATCTTGTGTCACATCTAAGCTACGCTTAGAAAAATCAGTCCATATTAAACTGAGCTTGTGTCACATCCTATCAGTGTGGAGTGACAGGTAAGTACTAAGTAACTCTAGCACGTTTGCTGTCCGACACGCCATGAAAGACAAAAGTTTAGCGCGGGAACCCGAACAGCTTCAAATTACAACTCACCAAAACGTGACAATTGAAAAGGTGTTGGGCATCTCTAAGTAGCGTTCGGTTCTTTTCATTCCTTGAATTCAACATGGGAGATAAAAGCCCCTCCATCGACACGAATAGAACTCTTTGATCAATAACTGTTGAATTAGTGTAACTATTACAAATTATCACGAATATTTCCATTAAGAGCCGTATTTGTTGACATTACTAAAGGAAATAATAATAATAATAATAATAATAATAATAATAATAATAATAATAAAACAGAGACGGATATTAATGATAAAAAATAATTCTACAAAATTCAGTTTAAGGATAGAACATTTATTTAATAGAATAATTAATACTGCTTCATTAAAATTATATTAATTTAATATATCATAATAATATTCATTTAATATATTCGAAACATTAATAGTCTTTTAATCTATTTAGTATATGATGGTAATATTTATTTAATAAAATAATGGATACCTGTTCAAATGTTAGTAAAGTTTTATATTTATTTAATATATAATAATACTGCTTCATTTTAGTTAATATTAATATATTGTGGATTATCTCACTTGGCTTTGCCAAAACGCCACCAGGGGGCGATCATATTATCTCTCTTCCTCTTTTACAGCTCGTTTTAGCTCTGGCGTTCGGATATAGTCGCATGTAGATAGGAACACTACCGACAAGGCGCGTTCGCTTCTTTGGTCCTCCTTTGGCTTTTGGTCGCTCACGCACGCATATATATACACACGTGTTTATCACACACGCTTGTTACACACACACACAGACACACACGCACGCAGAGACACATTCTTTTTAAAACTTGTTTTAATATTTTTTCCTAGCGTTACAATTGTCGACACGTGTAATTCCTTTTGTTAATGCATACATTGTCGTTTTATATTTACTGTTTTTTTTTTTTTTTTTTTTTTACCAGGACTCGCATTGCGTCTGCTAATATTGTTTACGGGGTAAATGTTCCAGGAGCCCGTAAATATTTACTATCCAAAGTGTTGATTCCCGCAACATAATGGTAACTAATATTTTCCCAAATATACTAACATCCCGCAATAATATTACATAAAATGAAGCAATAATATTTTTGTGATGTCAACGAATACTCGTTGTCTCTTGTAATGCTGGTTGTAGGAGAGACTTTATAATCTCAGATACAACTATAGTAACCTCGTTGAACAATTCTGGTGTCAGACGCCTTCGAATAATGTTGCACTAATAGTACTTGCTCGATAATATTCGCTCGACAGTAACCACCTTACAGAAATATAGTATAGTGAATAGTAAAGAATATTGGTACGAATAGTAATAAAGGATAGAACAGAAAATATCAATCCGTTAGTAATAGAGGATAGACTAGAAATGGCGATCATTAGACGCCAAGCTAATTCCTACTAATGTGCTTCCTCTATGGTCACATGGTCTACTTAATTCAATAATGGGATGGCCTGTGTTTGCTCACTGGCGATCTATGTTCAAACTCAAATGTCAGCGAATGTTTATTTTTATATTATCATTATTAATACATTTTCATTTTACTTGATATATTATGATATTAATTTAATATATTATGATATTTATTTAATATATTATGATATTTATTTAATATATTAATAAATTATAACATTTTAATAGGATAATTAATACTTCTTAATTTTACTTAGTATAATATAATAATAATAATTAATATATTATATTAATACTGTTTCATTTTAATATAAGACTAGCAGTAGAGCCCGGCGTTGCCCGGGGATGTAACAGTAAGAGATAGATCGAGTATCGACCATAATAAAGACTGAAAGGTTGATGGACACGCATGTCTTAATTAGTTTTTTTTTTTTTTTTTTACAAATTGGTCAAACACAAACAAAAACATTGTTTTCAATCGTTATGAGTCTACCGATTGAATAGAATTTTATTATAAACAATTGTCTTGCAAATGGAATTTTTAAGTCATTCTGAATGTAAAAATAAAGAAAAAGTGTGCAAGACAATAAGAAACACTACCTGCCAAAAAAAAAAGTGAAGTTTTGTTGAAATCGATTGAAAAATGTAGGAAATCCGATCCCATATATAAATGAACACACACACAAACAACCTGGGTTTTATAATAAGTATAAGTCGATATGAGTTGTCACCCTTTCATTCTCGCGATAACGATGCCTCTTAATAGTGTTTTCAAATTGATTTCGTGCAAAAACAATTGTGTTTTTCCAATTTTTGGCACTGTCAGAACCACCACAAGGTAATTTTACGCAGTCCTGTGAAGTTTTGTTGAAATTGGTTGAAAAATGTAGGAAATACGATCCAATATATAAACGAACAGACACACACACACACACACACACACACACAACCTGGGTTTTATAATAAGTATGATATAACAATATTCATTTAATTTTTTTAGAATAATTAACAGTGTATGAATTTATTTTTATTTTTAATTTTAATCATTTCACCGCAAGCAAAGCGATAAAGCCACTAAGATGTAAGGTGCTACTGAGAGTGAAAGAATCTGAGAAAACGTTATTGACTAGAGAAGACAATAAAAGAAAGGGTTCAAGATGAGAGAAGATGACAATTGAAGTTGCATTTAAATTTTTGAATATCATAGAAAGTAAGAAGCCAGAAGAAAGTTCCACGGGCCTAAAGAGCGAGATAAGTAACTATCAGAATAGAACTGAAGGTTTCAACTAGTTATTTCCAGAGTAAAAGGGTGAGACTTACCTACCAATCTAGTACTACGCTTAAATTCATTAAGTTCAAATACCAAAGTGGAAAAAAGCTCATCAGAATAATTACCATAAAAATATTTATAGGAAAGGCGCAGCGAACTTACGTTACATCGTTGGAAAGCGACTAAAGCCGAGATGCCAGGTCAGGGAAGATAACGTTGCAGTTTATTCTTTGAATTCTATCAAGAATTTCTAGGTACATAGCAGGCGCTAGTAAACTTATAAATTTACGAGAACGATTCTAGTGAGAAAAAAAGTCTAGCACGACACAGTGAAGCAACTTCCTAGTCAACAGTATTAACAACTGAATCGATATAATCGTTGCAATTCATACTAACCACTTGGAAGTTAACATCAGCCATAAATGTTTGTTGTTTCCTCTCTGCAGAATCTGACATCTTCACACTCCATTAACTTGAATGTTACCAAAGTTTCCTCCGAAGAAACCGTGACTCCAGATTTAAGCTGATGATGAAAGTTGTCGATGAAGCAATGAATACGTTTAGAGTTGAATATTATCTTCTTTCTTTCAAAACACATACGCACATACATTCACGGACACAAACACCTACGCACACGCATATAGATAGAACAGCAACGTGATAAAGTAAAGGTCTCTAGAATAGCCAAATGTTCCCATGCTCTCACAAACGCATACACATTCAAGCATATACACATATTTATATCTGTTAGTTTGTTTTAGATTAACAGACAAGGACTATTTTGTAACTCTTAAACATATTCGTTATTGAAGCAGACTTTCGTGATTAAAATCAGAAGTCAGAAACCGAACAAATAAGTTTTTCTTCTTTTTTTGCGGCAAGTCGTTGTGATTTTGAATGCTTTTCACATGTAACAGATACATGAAACTTGGAAAATGTATCATCGCCTCTTGCGCACGTCGCCATCTTTCAAAAAGGTTAGAAATTTGAAATTTAGAAGTAGTGTTATAAAATACCCGGTTTTTCTTAAAATGGCAAGCCCCCCAGAAAAAAAAATCACTCTAATAATTTTTCGAGGATTCTTGTGCTTATTTACCCGCGAACTTCTTAAGCCTAACCTTAAACCAACAAAAAATCCTTTCTAAAAAATCACAGTTCATAATCTCATAGTTATCTATCTCAATTATCTATCACACAAAAAATTCTCTCCAAATATATACGTATATATGTATAGCACATACGTCCATCTCACGCCATAATAATAATGCAGCAATAAACGACATCATTAGAAGAGGTTTGGATGCAGCTGGTTCCCCCTCCCAAATCGAACCCGTAGGCCTCGACCCTGGTGATGGAAAGCGGCCGGATGGCATTACCATTTTTCCTTTTAAAATAGGGAAGTCGGGATGCGACCTGTGCGGATACATTTCCGACCGGTAATTTGATCAGGGCCGCGGTTGAGCCGGGGTCCATCGCTCGGGACGCAGAGATAAAAAAAAAAAATAGTTAAATATTCTTCTCTTACTGATAGATTTTTTTTTTTTTTACTCCTGTGTTAGTGGAGACTTCTGGGGTTTATTGGCCCCTTTTTCGATAGCGTTCCTTCGGAGGATTGGTGCGATGACGTCTCGATTACGGGACGAGCCTCGCGAAACGGAGTGGCTCTTGCAGCGTGTCTCACTTGCGATGGTTCGGGGT